TGGGGATGAACTAAAGGAGCCATTTCCACAGTCATTAGCAGATTAATGTAGCTTAGCATGATTCGCAATCATAAGAGGCCAAGCTCTTATTTGCAGTAATGCTAAGGACTCCACTGGCAGTATGCCAGCAATAGATTTAGTCCAGTGTGATGTTATTTCAACAGCTTTGGTCAATGAAAAAACCCAAAATGAGCTGTTCTGTTAGAAAAGCACAAGACCAGATCTGCCCAGTAGCAAAGCAGCTTACAGACTGCCAAGTTGAAAGCAGGTTTGATCCTATATATATTTTGCCTCACCCCAGCCTCTCACTTCCTACATTAGTGGTGGCAGGAGGTGGCAGAGTTGGACTCTCCAAACTGGAGCTCCAGGAGTGGTTTGAGGCTTCTGCTTGATTTTGGCAGGATGTGGTTTGAGGAAAAGCCTGCCACTGGCTGTCCTGTCCCAAAAGAGGGACAGGCAAAAGGACAGTATGAAAGGAGCTATCCATCTCACCTAAAATGCCTTCCTGTCACCAGTCAACACCTGGCAGCAGGTCTGTATGGAGAAAAGGTGTGGCATCCAGCCACACCCCCATGGTGCTTCATGTGCAAACACAACAGCTAAACAAGGAAAACAATATGGAACTGGCTGTGGGGAATTAATACAGTTCAAGCCCACTGAGTGACATTCTCCCAAAAGCCAAGTTACCTAGCCATCTTTGGTAGGGAGCTCAAGCTTGGAGGCATTCTGAACCCAGCACTATTTTTCATCAGCTAGATAAAGGGAGCTGCTTTGTTCTGCTGCAGACTTTCAGATTGTGGTCTCAACTGAGCTCACAAAGACACGAAAAGCCACAATGGGAATAAGAAACCTCACAGAAAGTCCTAGGATGTTCTGGAAGCGCAAGAGTGGTAAGGAGAAGCCATTCTCTCCCATATGCCTCCAGAGAGGGCCAATGCCTTCACTTTTTGGCTTGAGAGTCTAGCTTAATGAAATGTCTTTATACTCTCAGGATTTAAAGTACTGCATCTGGGAACATAACAGTAAATGAAATGAACAAACCCAATTTAGGCTGGCCGCAAAGAGGGAAGTTCTTCCCTTCCACATTTGTGGTGAGACTTTTAAATCAGGACTTTATTTTCCTGGGCTTGGAAGAGGAAGAAAAACAAATGGACAGTTGCAAGATGACAACAACATGCCCAGGGTGCTACTGGTTGGAGAGGGAATACTGTGTGATTATTTTGCCTCCTTTTTTCCCTCCCTTGACAGGGATCTTAGAGAAATCCAGTTCTGGAAGTGAGCGAGGTGAAAATCCTGTGCTTTTCAACCATTCTCTTTTGCGTAGTGTTAGAAGGCACCTTTTGGATGCGTCCTGAAACTGAAGTCTTGACCACTTAAGGCTTTTAAAGACTTCATCAGTTTCCTCCAGAGAACAAGGACATTGATGCTTAGGGCAGATCCCCCCTGTTTTGAGTTGATGTACTGGGCCATAACTGTCTGTAGTCCCTGCAGAATATTTCTGTTTTTTCCCAGTCTGAGCTGCTGCTGCTCACTGTCACAACACATGGCATACCCTGCCTCACAGGCATCAGTGCTTCTGTGGCAGAGAAAGTGATTCCTGTACAAACATGGGACTAACTAAATTCCTGGTGAAATAACATCACTGTAATTATTCCCTAGATAAAAATGTCACCCATCCTGGCTACAGGTGATGAAGTGCTTAACACCCTTAACTTTTGCAGCTTAACAGCCAGTGTTGTATAGGAAGACTGGAGCAGTCCTTTGTATTCCTGAGAGGCAACATGCTCCAGATCCAAAAAGGTAAAAAGAGTTATAAGTTAAAATTTTTATATTAGCATATGATATGCCTTGTTTGCAATTCTTCACTGAACTGGGGACTGGTGGCTTAGCCTGTGGATGGCAGTAAAATATCTTTGATAGAATAATTGAAAGGCATTGCCGAGAAGCATTTCCATTCAGAGTAGCTTTCTCAGGGGTTTATTGCTCAAGGAAACCCAGAAACACTTGCATTGATTTGCAGATGAGATGACAGGAAAAACATTTTCAAATAGTGTAAGGTATTTACACTGCTTAAGATTTAAGGATTGCTCCTAACTAATCTTTTCAAAGCTCTCATGAAAGACAATCTAGCTTCCATCCTTTTAATGTGTTTTAAGCTTACCAATGTCCCTTTAGCTGGTTTATCTCATACAGTGCACCTCTGCATGCTGGAAACGGGCCAAGACAGAAACATCTGGTATTCCGAGGAGCAAAGGAACAGAGCAAAATTTAGACTGCCCATGGGATAATCCTCCTGGTGCTGCACCATGAGAGCTCCAGGGGCTCAAACAAGTCTCACTGCCAGAGCTCTTCACTTGGTACTGAGCTGCATATAACAAAATAGATTTGTGAAAAAAGGGAATGATGGCTGAGTATCTACTGATTCTCTCTACGTCCAGTTTAGCTTCTGGAGCTTAATAGTGTACTGCAGGTGCTTCTAATCCCACAAGATATTTGGTCAACTCAGATACAAGCAAGCAGGGCCTGCCACTTACTATCCCACTCATCCTCCTCGGAGATTCAGAGACTTTCGAGAGTTGGTAGCAAGTGAGATTTACTAAAGATCCTTACTTCTCTCTCCAAAACAAATCTCTTTTCAAAATATCAAAAGCCCGTTCCTCCCATCTGTCTCCAAGGATTTGTAATTTCAAGTCATTTCCATGAGCTAAAAGGGCAAGGTGAAGTATAGGGGGAAAGAGAAAATTAGTCCAAGTAGATAAAGAACACAGGTGTGCTGACAGCCATAATAAACTGTCCAAATCAAAGCAGACACCAGAATGCCACCTAAAACATCTATGTACACAGGTCCATCTAAACAGCTGACACCTCTGGAGTCATAACCTTCAGAAAAGGGCTTCGAAGTCCCTGAAGTGTGATGGCACCACCTGGAGCACAAGGAATCATTAGAAAAAAATGTGATTTTCTGCAAAATTCTGAACCAGGAGTCAGTACTGAAGAACCAAAGCATTCAAGGATGTCAGGGTCTGGGACTGCAGTTTGGATCCCTACATAATTCAACCAGTTAAGCCCGAGCAGTACCAATACAGCAGAGAATACATACCCGGAAATGAAAAATTCCAGCATAATCATCCTGGAATCCTTGATCCTTTGGTAAAACATTTTCCAAAAATCGCTTCTGCAGTGTCAGGGAGCCCAGGGCAGCCAGCATCCAGCAGTCACCTCGAGGAAGGGAAGAATCAAGTGCATTCAGTCAGTTACTGTTGTGGACCGTAACTAACTTCTTTAGGAGAGTGAACTTCAAAATCTAAGAATCAGCTTTTTAAAAGAAACCAACATTCTCCTGTTTCCCTTTTCTTCCCCAAATCACTGAACCACTTACCCAGTATTCATCAGCAATGCCCCCTGGGAACCCTGATGCCACTCAGCCATCCTTTTTTACTTTTATGCTCCTCCTATCTTTTGTGGTCATGTTGAGACTTTTAGTCTAGAATGGTTAGCAAATCTTCAAACCTCTCAGTGGGGTGAGGAATGGAAGGACATTTCTTTCTATATGGAAGCAAAGCTGCTCCCAAAGACAAATGTGGTTATAGGCCAGAAGAAAAAAAGATAGAACTGATACAGGGTTGCAGACACATGTCTGGGTAAGTATCAGAGAAGATAGACAGAAATATTCATAAGAAAAAAAACACTGAGAGTCATCAGATGGAGACAGGATGAAAAGAAAATTCAGTTCTACACATGTCGGAGCTGTTCTACCCCAGAACTGTGTTAGACCCTTGTACCCTTAAGTATCTGCCTGATCTCAGCTGGACCTTCCCCTTTCTATGCTTGTCCTTATATACAGAGGGCAAGTGCTATATATAAGTAGCAGGTATGAGAGCTGTTGCATTTGGGAATCCTGTTAAATACCTGCAATAAGTTGTGTGTGAATTTGTGTGAGTCTGGATTGACCTGCACTAATTGTTTGCTGCAGCTACCATGGTCCACATATTCCCACTAAGCTGTCAGAACAATAGCAAAGCAATCACAGGTTATTGCTTTGTGCCAATCTTTTCCAAAACAGGAATACGACCTTACCTATTTCTCCCTGCATGATATCAAATCTGCTAACTCCATCCAGGATCAAATAAGGATTTCTTTGAAGTTCCTGGAAGAAAGAAAATGCAAAGAGCAGCGTGGGTACCCGGTCTTTGCCAGCAGTGCGTTCCTGCCCCTTGAAGACCCTTGCTTGCCTCCCTTTTCCACAGAAAACTGTTTCTTTTGAGCCCTGATGTTTTGTTATCTGCCACCAACAAAATGAGAGGAGATACTCAAGTATCTCTTCTTTAGTCTGCTCAGCTGTTTCTAGGGATAGGGACTTGTGGCTGGGTGCTCACTGAGTTTTCATTTGGGTTTCTATCAACACCTTTCAGAAAGGGCTCTGAGCCTGGCTGCAAAATCATGCAGTTTGCTGGGGGACAGTAGGGCAGAGACACAGAAGTTTCCAAGCAAAGTGGAGCAGGTTCTGTACTGGGTCAGCACCCAGCTCAGCACTGGATCTAGGAATGTTTTACTCCGAGCCTTTTGTGTTTCCGTGCAGGACTAACACAGATCAGCCTGGGCTGCTTTTCATCACTTCTGTTGAGGAAGCTATAGAAAGAGGGCTTAATCACTAGCCGCAGAATCTCTCAGGCTTGGCTGACTTATTTTTAATTCACAGATAATTTTCCTTGCAATCCTTGAGAGTCTTGCTTGGGCAGTGAAAGAGGAAACACTTTAGAGCTTGTCCTCACACATAGAAATGTGACCCATTCTCCCACCTGTGTCTGCTGTTGGTCTGGGATATCTTAGTACTCAGGTAGGAATGGCCCGAGCATCCCCTGTGAGTAATCCTTGGTACAATCCCACTGGGTAAGGCTCTGTTTGGAAAGAGCAATCAGCCTTAAATAGAAAAGTCACCACACATCTAAGAAAATTAAGAGATAAAAGGGTGAAAAAACATCTGAGTAAGAAAAATAATACAGAAGCTCTTCCTTAAACAGGCATTTCTTCTCCCCAATTGATTTGACATGCTGCACAAAAATGAGACCAGCACACAACGTGACTCGTGACTCGCATGGTTGCGTGAGCTCAGCATTAGCAAACGCTGTCAGTTTTCTGAAATGGCTTCATGGTGATCAAACCCCTCTAAGAAGCTTCCCTGTCAGGAGAAGATGCAACACAACGTCGCTGCTCCACGCTGGCGGACAAATCATGCTCCCACAGCACTGCTGACTCCAGGGAAAGGAGCCTGGGCAGGCTTCTTCCTTGACAGATGCTGACACACAGCCATCCATGCCTATCCCAGGACTTTGGGGAGTTGTGATAAAGAGATTTACCCATAGCATGGGAGCAAGCCTATGAAGTATGGTCACCAGCAGCAATGGTTGATCATCATACAGGGAAGTAGCAGCTCTCAGCCCTTCTCCCTCCTCCTCTACATCTGTCCCAGCTTTATCTTCTCCCTGCCTCTATTTCCCTGTCAGCAGTTTGCCTCTCTCACATGGGTGAATTCCAAACCTCTCACAAGAAGGAAAGAGTAACTTGCATGACAAGGCTCTGAACTTGGCCTGTGCCCTTCTGTGTGTCTGACTTGCCAACAGTCATCCCAGAAAACCAACAGCATAAATGAATGGGTATTTTTGTTCCCCCGTCATTTCTGAAGCTGTTGAAATCTTAGTTGCCCCAGGCAGGGTGGAGGAGCTCTGATGGATGTGCTACAGTGCATAGCTGCCATGGGGGTAACCACCATATAGAAACACAAGCCTGGAACTAATGGGAAAGCAGCTGTGTCTCTTACGGGCTTTCCCAAGCAAAGTGCTGATGATCTGCTCTGTGCTGTGACAATAAAGCTCGTAAGTGCACTGTGGATTCTCCTAGCCTGTTTTGGAGACCAGCCAACTAGTACCAGCTAACTAGTCAGCCCATTAGATGCCTCAGCAAATACCCTATTGCCCACCAAGATGTTTGAATCCCCAGTAAGCAGACAGGGATGAGTTGAGTCATTAAGCAGGTTCTTTGCAGAGAGACACCAGTAATTTTGTCTAAAACCAGAAAAGACACAATCTGAAGTCAGCCCCAGCCAACATGCTTTGACTGTGCATACAGACATAGATTTTGTGTCTATTGGAGAGAACAAAAGCTGAAGACAAACAACCCCCACCCACAACACACGAAGCTCTGCTTCCAGTGGGATGTACTCCCCACAGACTCGGGGGGCAATAACTGGAAAGCAACAGAGAGTGTGTGACTAGCCATGGAAAAGGGGCTGCTCAGCAGCTGCCCCTCTGCAGAAACCACAGGCAAATACGAGGTGAATTCCCATTGAGCCAACACCAGTGTCGCTGGCTGAAAAGGCAGCAGTCCTTGCTGCGGGCAGTGTGGTCAGAAATGGCAGGGCAGGTTTTAATGGGATTTGTGCTTCGGAGTGTAGCCACCATTCTGCAGGCTCAAAGAAAAGAGGCAGCATGGGCACACTTCAAAAGGATGCACTGCACGGAGCACAGGCTCTTTGTACAGTGTTGGCTGTGGGGCAAGGGACAAGCAGAAGCTGAAGCAAAGGCAGGAGCAGGCGGTGGTAGGGAATTGCAAGAGCAGATCCTCAGAAGAGGCCTGGAAGAGCGAGACCTCTGAAGTCAGTGGTGGAATGGCTGTTTCCTTGAAGGATGCTGTGTGGAGCCTGAACTACACAGAAGGTTTCTGAAAGATCTTAGAGAGGACATAATTATGATAAGTGCAGTGCTTTGGAAATCTGAGCCTTCTCAACCGGAAGGAAAGGAAGTCTTCAATTAGCTCCTCTTCCTGCAAAGGCAATAATACAGTAGTCATAAAACACCAGACACTATCATCCTATCATGTATTGCAAAACACAGCTATGCACCAAGTTACCACTACACAAAACATGCAAGCCTCACTATTTGCTAGTGCTCAAACTGCATGACAAATAGAGAAACCACAGATTTAACTATAAGTCTGTCCAGAAGCAGTGCCCTGTTTCACTGAGAAGTTATGAGGCTTTGTGGCATTTTCACTGAGACTTCTCAGTTTTAGCTGGAGGGGGAAAGAAGAGGGAGCACAAGGAGGCACGTGGTCTCTTCTCAGAGCATCTACGAGTCCAGCAGTGAAGGCAACCATATGTGCTGCAAGTCAAGTGCTCTGCCTGAACACATTTCCCCAGGACAAAGTTATCATCTCATGCTTTCACTGGACCACTGAAGACTTCATTATGCATTCAAAATAAAAAAGCAGTTCAGGTTCAAACCAGTCCATCCTCTAGATTATGGTCTTACCACAGAAGTACTGCTTATCCAAAAGGAAAGATGGAGAAATAATTTGAGAGGGAAGAACAGTGCCTTGTACATGCATTTATCTCTAAATTTCTTTTTATAATAGCTCAAAATTTTTAGGGAAGAACAAGTCCCCAGAAGAAGCTGGAGGTGAGTAACGTAAATGTCGGCCACATGCAGACATATGCAAAGGACACAGACATTTTGTGGAAAACTGGAAGCCTGATGTGTGATTTCATAAGCAGCACAAGTCAGTCTCACAGCAGGCTGCTTCTCAGAATGGTGGTCTGGCTGTGGCCACCTTCCCACAGAGTTCCCCACTGTCCCAACGTGATCCTGAGTGCAGGCACAAGGCCACTGAGGGTTAAGAGGCAGGAGATCACTTTTTGCAGAGTTGTCTGCTGATCAATTCACCTTAACCCTACAGTAAAATCCCAGCCCCACTTCTGTTCCTGCCACAGCGCCGCATCTTCCCCTTTCCCCTTCTCCAGCTCCACCTGCTTGACATGTCATGCCATTGTGAGCCACAGTGCTCCCTGTTCAACACATACCAATAAGAAAAACAAAAGGGCTGCTATTGATTGAAAGCCAAACGCTGTTCTCAGCTGGATAAATCTTAATTCAGCATCACTGCTGTGCCTGTAATACTATTGGTCTGCATTAAGAAGCAAATACAGTATTGCAGTTCCCTGGGCTGAGGGCATTGCCTAGCAGTGCACTGAGGAGGGGTCAGGCACATCACTGTCATACATCCCATAACTACAGGAAACCTCCACAGAATAGCTAACACAGAAATAAGCCAGTTGGAATAAGGAGGGAGGACAGAAAAAAGGATAAGCTGTGTTGGGTCACACCAAAGTTCTGCCTGTTGCAATGCCTTGTCTCCAACAGCTTGGAGAGAGAGGAGCAGGATAACCAAGAAAGCGGAAACTAATGTTCCTTCTGCATACATCCTCCCACTCTCCACCACTTTGGTGCTAAAGGACTTCCTAGGCTGGAGGCTCTATCCACAGTTTTGTGTTTATTAGATCTCGTGGGAATCAGGAATCTGTTTCCTTGAATCTGCCTAATTTTTTTTTCTTTTTTAAACTCATACTCTGCTTTTCTTTGGCATTTTTTTAGACAGGAAAAAACAGGCTAATCTCAAGGGGTTTGCTGGCACCACCAGAACTCAATTCCCTGCTTTACAGCAGAAGAGCTCAGTTCTTAATTATCTGTTTTCAACACAAATGCTTCAGTTGCTTAAAGAAACCCCTCCTCTGCTCCACTTCTTTCTCACAACAGAGGAATGAGGTCCTCAGACACTGCACAGGTGGGGAGCCCACAAGCATGAGAGTAAAGTCCTGCTGGAGAACAGACTGGTGTCCAACAACCAGCAGAAACAGAAACCGGCTCAGATTATACCTGCAACCTATTTGCTTTCTGTGGCTCAGTGCTAAAAAACAAATGACAACTGCAAACAAAGGAGGTAAACACAAAGGAGGTAAAAAGGGGAAGTAGCACTGTCTACCCTCCTTAGAGGTCTTGAAATCTCCCACTCAGACTGTTCAGTACAAGTTTTCAAAGTGGCATGGCGTTACCAACTATCCCCCTGTGGCCACCACAGCCATATAAAATCCTGCTGACTGACTCCTCAGCCTGAGAAAAGGGGAAGCAGGTGAGTCAATAGATCATCATAGGAGTGCTGCTTTCCCCTCAACCCGCAGTGCAAGCATTCCCCCACACAACCAGCCCTTTCCATAAGCAACAGAGTTAGAGATATGATGGGAATAAACCCTCCTCGTCGAACGTCTCTGCAGAAAGACAGATGCAATAACTGGTGACGCACTGCAGCTTCCTCAGC